GTAAGTTTCAATCTTAATTTCCAAATGATAGGGATCGTGACAGATAGCTATGTGGGCTTTAATAGGGTTCCTGAGTGGAGCATATTGGCCTGAGTGGGTGCCTGAGGGGTAGGACTCTCTGTGGTGGGCTGGAGGTCCAGGTGGGGAGGTCCCAGCCACTGTCGTTGTGCGGTTAGTTTGTGGATATCTGTGAATCAGGTAGCCTTGGGAAAAGCTATTCAGGGAAGGATGTGAGAAGTGGAAGGGAGCTAGCAGTTACTGTGAGTAGGGAGATTGGCAGGTGTCCCCTGGAAAGAGTTGGAATCAGTCTGTGATGCCAGCTGTGGACAGTGCCATCTCTACTCCCAGGTATCAGATACAGTGTTAGAAACTGCCTCTTTCTCCTGCTTGCTTCCTCCCATGTAGTTCTTAAAATAAGATGCATAGAACCATAGATCTCATTCAGTAATCATTCAGCAAACATACACTGAGCAACTGTTACATATCAGCATTGTACTAAATTTGGGGTATGCAATAGTGAACAACACAAAGTCCCCCCCCTCCCTGCCGCCATGTTTATAGAACTTGCAGCCTAGTGGAGGAGACAGACAGTAAGAAAATAAATATACAATATAATGCCAAATTCTATAAATAATACAAAGCAGGCTGAAGAGATAGAGAGCTTTGGGGTGGAGATGGGTGGTCTGGGAGGGCCTCTCTGAGAAGGCGATATTTGAACAAAGTGCTGAATAAAGTATGGGAGCCAGCCATGCAATTATTCGGGAGAGGTGCCGTCCCAGGAATGCAAGAACGAGAAACAGGGAAGCGGGGAGACCTAGTATGAGGTGGTGTGTTACGGAGCCACCCTAGCCCCACAACAAAGCACAGCTGGTTTTACGAGGCATCTCCAGAACAGCTGACCAGAACCACTGTGTTTCAGAATAGACCATCTTTGCTAGTGCTTGCACCTATATTTTTTCATTTGCTTTTCATCCCTGGGGAAAAGAAAGGGCTGTATTTTAAAGACAGAGGAGAATGAAGCATTAGAAACCTGCAGAAGCTCTTAAGGAGCTTGAATCCATTTTTTTTTTTTTTAATAGGAGCTTGGTAGTTTGGGGAAAGGGAAGGCTCTTTCCTATTTACTGTCTCTCTTTGGTCAGAATCTACCCCAGCAGTTAACTCCCTTGAACTTCCCTACTGTATTTCTTATTCACTTTTTCTTGGCTGCCACTAGGAATGCAGAGATCCCATGGGCCCAGGTTAGAGGGTATGCAGGTGTGGTGGTCTCTGCATCAGTGGATGTTGTGCATAGGGGCTCCTTAGGCTGTGGCAGAGGTAGGGATGGTGTGACAGCAAAGGCTCTGTGCTCTCTTGATCAACAAGGCAAGCTCCCAGGCCAGAGAGTTGGGGGTTGGTGGGTGGTCTTCAATCTGGGGCTGACAGTTTACCACATAGGGATGTTGGGAAGATTAAATAAGATAAAGCATGTAAAGAACTTGGTAGAGGGCTTGGCACAAAGTCAGTCCTCAATAAATGTGAACCGTTATTACTATTCCACCTGACCATACATCTGACTATAAGATGGATGTCATGTCCTCTGTAAATTGTTCCCCTTCTAGGGGAGGGAAAAGTATTTAAATTCTAAAACCCCTACTTTTTCTTCTACCGCGGAGGAAGCTGGGATAACCGAGGTAGTTTTGCCCACTCTGTTGATGATCCCGGTATCTGCCATTTATCTGTCACTTACAGCTAGCAACCCCTATTACTTTTTGAGCAGAGGCAGCTGGTGATGAAGAAAGGTCACAGTTATGATTGTATCTCTGTTATCATCAGAGAGGATCAAGGCAGACACCATTTAAGACCTTTAGAAGATATGGACATGGATTTAAATGCCAGCTTATTGGAATAGCTCTTACCACTGTTACTGACACATTGTAGGTGCTGTACACACTTGGGTTCATCTTTTGCTGTTTTTGTTTTGTTATGTTTTTACAAATTAGAAATAAGTTGGGACACACAGGTTATTCTCTTTGTGCAAGTGGTGCGTGTATGCATGTAGGCACATATGCATGTGTGTGTGATGCAGGATAAGGCAAATTTCTCTGAGGTAGTGAGGGGAGACCAAGCCCTGTACCGAGAGAAGAAGAGAGTCCTTTGGTGAAGAGTGAAGAAAGAATTCAAGAGTCAAAAGGAAAGTTTATTAGAAAAGGGATAACACTCCACAGACAGAGTGTGGTCTCCTCTCAGAGGCAGAGACTGAGAGGGACAGAGTGAAAAGTAAGGAGAGAAAGACAGTGAGAGGGACAGTTAGAGCCATCCTGAGGGTTTTGGGGAATTCAGTTTATATATCATTCTTTATTGAGCTATAGTTTAAAAGACTTTGTTAACCCATTTCCTTTGATATGGACATACAATAAGGAAGGAGAAGAGTCTGAAAAGGTAATATGTAGAGCAAAAGGCCTGCTGGCAGTTCCCAGCCTTTAATCCATAGGTTCCCCACGGTTTTAGCCATAGAGAATGACTCTTGGTTCCTGTTTCCCCTTCACAGGTGTGGAGAATGGGTTGTTAGTAATCTCAGCAGAAATCTTCTTTTGTTCTAAAGGTGTCCTCCTGGCCTGGCTGCAGGGCTGATCAGCATATTGCAGCCTCTGAATGTAGCTTGATTAACATTTTTAATTCTCTTGCCTACTCTCTACATTATGTGTGTATATGAATAACTTCATCCCCTTTTAAAAAGTCATTAATTTCTTATTTTATTTCTACAGTTATTTACTAAATGATTATTTGTGTATAGAGAGAAGGGCCATTGACACTAATATTTAACATTTCTTGAGTACTTAGTATTTTCTAGCCACTACTTAAAACATTTTAAACATATTATCTCATATAAATCTCATAATAACCCTATGAGATAGGTCCTATCATTATCACCATTTTGCAGATGAGGAAATTGAGGTACAGAATATCAAAGTCACAGAGCTAGTAAGTGAGCTAGCCGGCATCTGAGCCTGTGTCACCTTGGCTCCAAAGGCTCCTTTCTTAGCCTCTTCACTGCCATGCCTGAAGGTATTAGACTTATTTGGAAATAATTATCATTTCTAAATTTTAGAAGAGTAGATTCAGAAAGATTGGATGATCACTTTTTAGTCCATCTAAGATTGGTCAGATGATAGCTCATTGATTCCCTTGATAAAGAGTGGCATTTATAAAAGGCCATGTAAGAGCTTTGGGACACATTTAATAGATGTTTTCTGCAGGGATAGAAGGTGATGGGTGTAGGATGAGAGGGCCCTCAGGTATTTCCTGGGCAGCCTTTCTCAAGATTTAAGTCTTACTGCCCTATGATATCTATTGTATGTAATGAATTATCTTCTCCTCTAGGTATTTAAAATGGTTCTATGTAAGTACTATCCTTGGGAGAATTGAGCAAATAATTACTCAAAAATTTTCTGCATTCTGTGGTTCAAATGCAGATTCCGCAGGTGACAAAGGGCTGCCTGGAGATCCATCAATTTCCATTTTCCTGGGATCAGCAACACCTTTTAGCTTCAGTAACACCTATTAGATAAGAAACAAACTCTTGTTCCACACCTTTTCACCAAGTTTTTCCAGAAGTTAACATATTATTTTTAAAAAACCAAGATGAATAATATCTTCTAGCATTCAGCTCAATTTTGTCAATTTTGCTGCTCTGTAATATTTCTTAATCCCAGGGATTTTTTTTTATACGTTATTAGAAATTCAGATTGAAGCACACTGGTCAGTAACTTGAAAGTGTTTATATTTGACTAATGACAGTAGAGGCATTTGCTCTAAATGAGAAAGAATGGAAGAATTGTATTTTTCCACCAATGGTCATAAAATAACACACCGTAATTAGGAGGATTTGAAAATGTCAATCATCAGATACTTCTTACTAGAAGTAGTTTTGAAAATAAACTTAAAAAAGGTTTGTGCCTAATTATGTGGCTGGACTAAATGGATTTGGTGGCATTTATGCTACTGTAATCAAAGTTCATATTATTTTCAAATTCATGCTACTGTAATCACAGTTTGTACTGTTTTCAGATTCAAAGGGGTTTGTCTCTGTTTAATCATTTGGAATTATCTCACTTATTAAATATGTTAAAGGTTGATTAGAATTGGTGATTGATTTAATCAGTTGTCAAAGCAAGACTTTTTTTATAAAAAGAACCCTTCATGAGTGATTATTTAAAAAAATCTTCTGTACCATTTACAACTTTTTTGTTTTTACAAAAGCAAATATAGATACAAGATATAAAATTTGGAATATAGAAGGAAGAGTATAAGGAAGAAAATGGAAATCACTCCAGAATCTTACCACCCAGAGATAATCTCTTCTAACAGTTTAGTTTTTGATAGCAGAAGTGAAAATTATCTTAGTGTGAGTTCTCCCAGAGGCAGATCCTAAGCTAAGGACTTCAGTACAAGTGATTTATTAAGATAGTGCTCCACGGAGACACCAGTAAGGATGTGGGCAATGCGGGATATGAATAGCAAGAAACTGAGCAAAGAGAGATTTTAAGTGAAAGGCCATGAGGGGTCTGGAGGATGAATTTTACCCCAGCTCCTCAAGGTAGAGAACCTCTCATGCCTATTAATCCCTGGCTTGGGCTGTGGGAGTGAGGGTTGTAGACTTTGCAGGTAACTTCTGGCATTCTGGGCAAAGTGGCTCCAGTGCCCAAGGGTATCCCTCTAAGGATGGCAGGGACAAGCCAGGAGCCACAAAGCATTCAGGAGCTTGGGGATGGGCACACAGAACTGAAAAAAGAGATCCAACAGTGTCCGTTGCTTTTTTTATGCAAGGAGGCAGTAGATAATGAATATGTTAATATTGAAGGATAGAAGTAGAGGCTATAATGGTAAGTAATTAAGCATTGTATTTTCCTTTTCATTTAGCTCATGCTGCTGGTAGTAAAATTATTAACTTCCATTGGTTTGTAATAATTGATTTGATTTCCTGATGCAGGAAGGAAGGTACATCTAATAAGTAGTCTAGCTTTAAGACTGGTACTGACTCTTGAGGTGAGGTGCCACCCAGCGTAGCCTGGATTGAAGGATGAGAATGGAATGTAGCTGAAAAGGAGGACTGAGTGAATAGCAGAATCAATTCTCAGATCTTAGGGCCAGTTTTAAGATAGAATCACAGGAAAACCAAGAGATCTAGTTACCTTGGGACAGATCAAAGATGAAGAGCAAAGGGGAAGGAAAAAAAAAAGACCTCCCAAGGAATGCTGGAGTCTAGACTGTCTGGGCTGAAAAATATGAGAAAGGCAGGGAAGCCATGATGCAAATTATCCAAATGACAGGTAGTTGGAAATTAAACTTATACTTGACATTAAAATTATGTTTGTGCTCATATGTAAGAATGAATGTGTCTGATATAATGGGAATTCCTGCCAAATCAGTGAACTGTGGGGGCACTGGAATGATAGAGTCTCTTGGAGATCGAAAGCTCAGTGTCTCCCCCAGCCCTCTTGGCTGCCCAGACCCACCCCTTTTTCCCGTCTGTGTTGGGAATTACCTTCCAGCCTTAAATGAGACTCCTTTTCTAGAGCTTGTGTCTTGCTCGACTTACACATCCTCTTAAGAATGAGGGAGAAAGGCTTAACATTTTGTATAAAATAAAGGACATTCAAACTCCCTATAATAATGGACTACTTTTTAAAATTCAGAGCATAACTAAATACAGACGTTAAGAATGTCAACAAAGAAGACCTCTGGTGAAGTGAAGTCATAAAGATTCACCTGGCCACATATTTAAGATTTCATTATGATTTTGTTTATATTTAGAGAAAATCTAGTGTTCATCTAAACAACCTTCTTTCATACCTGCGTGACTTGGCTCCTTGCCTGTTTCTTATGCTGGGAAAGTTTCTTTTTCTTTATCTTATTCCATTATTCAAGTCTTGTCAAATGTGGCATCTTCATAATTTCTCCACATCTGGGCAGAATTAATTATTTTCCCATGACACATTGTAATACCTTAATTAGAGCATATATTTTTAGGACTTATTGTACTGTATTATGGTTTCTAGTTTAAGACCTTTTTCTCTTCCCATCAGAACTGTCAGCTCATGAAAGGCAGGTAAGATGTGTTGTATTTAACTTTGGGTTCATAGTGCTTATGGTCCAGTGGAGTACTGAAATGGGCTCACAGAAGCTCATGAGAGCTCGTTGTATGTAATTCCCAACTTCGTGTTCAGTGATATCATGTTGGTAGTTCAAAATCTGCCGTCGTTGGGGTTGTTTACACCACAGAGATCAGCAGACACTATAAATCAGGGCTCCCCTGTCCCATTCCATGGTCAGTTGTTACAATTTACCAGCACATCACTGTTAGTGACCTTCTGTGATGTAGATTGTACTCAAAAAGTGTTCATTGAAAGGAAAATTTGCCGCCTTCTTTGAGAATCTCACCAATTTAATTTGTGACTTTGTCATGATTGTGGAATTCTTGGGAGTACTCTTAATTCTTGTAGGTTGTTATCACTGTAGGCTGTTAACAATGAGCATTATACATTTGTGTCATTGACTAAACATATGAATGTTTTTGTTTCCCTGTTACTTGGCTTTCAGGGTGGAGTTTTAGTAAAAATTACAGAAGCGTGCCCTACTTTGAACTGCTCAGAAAAGGACCACATTCTCCCAGAAAATCAGTGCTGTCGTGTCTGTCGAGGTGAGTGGGCTCAGTGGTGGGCCATGCTTGGGCTGGGGGTGAGAGTGGCTTTATGGCTGTGAGGGTTTAATGAAGAGTGTGATGATAATAGCTTGGGTCCAAGATACTGTTCTGCTCCTTAGAAACTTGCATGTCCTATTTACCTTTCTCATTCCTAGTCTCCTCAATTGTAAAATGAGGATAATAATAGCATCTACTTCTTAGGACTGCTGTGAGGATTCGATGGTAAAATGCATAAGCCCCTAGCATCCTGACTAACATGTGGTAAATATTTGATATACAGTAGTTCCTATAAAAATGATGATAGTTCCTGCAATGACGATCATTATCATTATTATTGTTACATATTTCTCATGAGTAGGATTAGAAACATTTTTTTTATCCCTTTCCATGGGCTAATTCCCATATTTGACAGAAGATAACTTATAGTGAATCCTCACTCATAGATTTATATATAACTTTTTTGCTTCCTGAGAGGAAAAAAACTTCAAGTAAGCAACACCTAATTGCTTATTAATTCTGGGACAGAAATTGTTTTGCTTCTTTTTGCTGAAATTCCCTTTTTTCCCCCTAAATTTATTCCTATATTTTCAAACCCCAGCTCCACTATCACTTCCTCTCTAAAACTTCTTACCTACGCAGAATTATATGGATTAGGAGAACCTAAAATTTATTTGAAGTCTTAAACAAATCCAGTTTAATTATAACTATTATTTTGAAAGTATACCCGCCACAAATCCTTCTTCACATTCTCAAATACCCAGTGAGCTAGAGCCCTTTCGGCTTACCTTTGAAGCCTCTAGAGTTAAGAAAAATCTAGCAGTGTAGCAGTTTAGATCAGGTAACTTCATATTTTACTTCTTAACTATCTTTTCTTCAGCACAAGGGTCGGCACATATTTTCAATAAAGGGCGACAAAATATTCTAGGCTTTGCAGGGCCAGAAGGTTTCTGTTGCAACTGCTTAACTCTGCTGTTGTATTGCAAAAACAGCATAGACAATAGGTAAATAAATGAGTGTGGCTGTGTTGCAAAACAATTTTATTTACAAAAACAGGTGGCAGTCTGTGATGTGCTGGCCCCTCTACCAGCACCTTCAGATCTATAAAAATGTTGTATATTTTATCATAGAGTGTTTTCAGCTTAGGCTGAGATTTCTCTCTGTGGTTGGTCATGAGAGAGCAATATTTTGGTCAAATTCCTAGGAAAACTGAGTACATTGCTAGCCTCACAAATGGCTCTTAGAATCAGTGAGATGCTAACCATGCCACCTGAGTATCTTCCTTGATTTATCTGCTTTCATGGCTACAAGCATGTTTGCAGCTGGGATGCTTAAGAAAGCCCTAACGATTGACTGACATTTCCAGAGGGATACATTTATTGGTAACTGATTGGGTTGTTAGGTAGGTCTTATAATTTAATGCAAAATCCATCACTTGCTATTTGTTGAGGTGCCAAGTGGGGATCAGTTTATGTAAATCCTTTCTGATTTATGGTTTCATTAGAGCAGAATCATTGATTATTCCATAGAAATTCAAGAGGAATTTCATTGCTTTGACCCAGTTTACAACAGACCAGGTGTTACTGCTTCTGTTAGTACTTCTATGAATGCATGTACTTCCTTACCAATGAAGATGCTGAGAGATGTGACATTTCACTAAATAGTAGACTTATTCAAGGCTCCCACTGCAGGCAACCTGGCTTTTACTAAACCTGATAGCTTTGAGGGAAAAGTGGGAGGCAGGAATAAGGCTTTGGAGATTAGATCATGGCTGGGGCCAACATGTGACATGGAGGATTTTCTTCTTCCTCCACCTACCTGCTTCCTTCTCAGCCAGGAAGTTACTAACTCTTTTATTTGACAGCTGATGATTTTTTGTGGAGGGGTGTGTATGAGAGAGAATTATTTATGCTCTTTGACAGCTGTACATTTTGACAGGAAATGGAGCATGTCTTAAGAAAAGATATGGTGAGAGAGACTTCTTGTGGGGAGTTGATTGACTTAAACTCTTGAGATATATGGGTTCTCTTGGGTTTCTCCTATTCTCTCATACCATAATTGAGACACTGGAATGAAGAAAGCATTTTTTTTGACCAAGGCCCTTTTCAGCACCACTTACCGTCATTACCTCCTTCTCTGTTGACTCTTAGCAGAGAAGAGCTCAGAACATCCAGCCCACTTGTTCGCATTCTGGGGCTTGTTGTGGTACACATCCGGCAGTCAGAAAGTGAAAAGCATATTTGTCTGGGCAGCGAGGTATTCTTTTTTTTTTTCCCCCCATGAAAACATAAAATTTATATGAAAATTAACAAAAACATCAGTCGAGATAAGCTTAAAGGTCTATTGTCTCAAACTGTGCTCCCCATGGTTTTTGCTCCATATCTCTTAATTCCGATTTATTTCCCAAGAGTATCTTTAGAACTAACAATAGTCTCTCACAATATTGTAGGAAATATTTTTCCCCTTCGATTTCTATTTGCCTTTCACCTTTTCCTCCATGTTCCTGTTTTCTGAGCGGAGTCTTGCAAGAGGAGGAGAGAGTTGAACAGTTACTATTCTGACAAGACTCGGAAAGCCCAGTGGGCTTCTTGTAAGGCAAATTATTCCGTTCTTCTCCCCCTCCTCTTTTACCCTCTCTAAAATAGAAAGTAATGAAAATGTGAGAAACACTCCATTTCTATATAAAGTAATTTTTATTCTGCGTATGGAAAGGCTGTACTGCTTGCTTTGTGGATAGAGATTGTGTACCGACTGGCAGGCAGCAAGTGAGCAGAGGGGTGGGACTCTGATGACCTGAAACCTGTGTTTCAGGGATGAGCTCAGTGGTGTGATGTCGGCTATATGGTTTCTGCCGCCCTGATATTATTGGTTACAGAAAATGATGTGGCTGTAACCTCTTTCAATACCTGCACCGGAGGCCTTTCAATTAGCATATTTGTCATTTCTCTCTGTCTTACTGTGAATGTCAAGCCATTATTCTGAGGGATACTGCCCCAGGAGAGTTATCATTCCTCCAAAGTCTAACTCAAAACCTTTCTCAGGTCTGTTCAGGGAATTGAAGTTTTCCAAGGTTTATTTTCATTAGGACTCTGATGAGCCACCTTACCCGAGGAGGCTTAGACTAGGAATTTGAGAAAGCACAGAGTGCTTTCTACTTTCTGACCCCAATTGGCTGGTTATGTAATATCTAGAAAGCTCTCCAACTTTTTTGGTAACATTCGTTTTAATGATCACATTTTATGAACTGCTTCTTTAAATGTGGGAGATGAGGTCGGTGAAGACGTGTTCCTACCACATCTATTATTTTTATGTCAGTGACTTTATATGAAATTACTTTCAGTACCACCTCATAGGCTTTATATGTTGCATTTATGAAATAATGTTAAAACCCATTTTTTGCTGAGTTACAGCTTGTTTCCTCAAGTTATAACTTGGCTTAATTTTGAAGTGGATTTTTTTTTTTTAATTGAGTCATGCCCATTTTCTTATATGGCTACATACTTCAGCATCCCCAATTAAAGAGGTATAGATTATATGTTTACACTGAATTTTTCTATTTTGGGGAATTAAACCTAAGACCTTAGAGTTAAGAATAATAAGCTCTGATTGACTTATGGTGTTCACTGTGTCAACTAGGAGCTCAGATTTTTTTATGCCAAATGCTGCAACTAATTCCCCTGTCCTTTAGAGAAAAATAAACGTAATCAGCTGAACAGTTGGTTAAATCCACAGGGCTATTGGTGTAGCCAAGATGCCCTTAAAAGAAAGAACTATGACACTTAGGAGGGAAGACGTGCAAAAAGAATCAAGGTGTTGGACGTTGGCATGGAGAGGTCGCTCTGCAATTGCTGGGGTCCAAGGTCTCAGTCACCAGCAGCACTCCCCAGAACAGCTCTAATCACTACTGCAGTTTTCTCTGACGCCTCAGGACATTTGTGCCAGCAGTGTGAAATTTGTTTACCCTCATCATTACCTTGAGGTAATGGCTATATATAGCAGGAGCCCGTCTACTTAAAGTGTCAGGTCATGAAGTGGAAAAGGGGGGAATGGGCACCAGATTGACATCTATGCCCCTGCCTAGCCCCTGCCTGGGAAGAAGTAATAAAAGCGTAAATGTGACACCAGCAGAAAACAACTGCTCATCAATGCTGGTGCTCTCTGTAAAGGGGAAAGAAAAACCGACAATCTTGACTATTTTCTCGGATCGCTCCAGGAAAACACACCCATCATTTGGCTCATCCCAGAATTCTTGAAACACACCTCAGGGTTTTATTTTCCCCATTATGGATTCTAATTGTATCTTCAATGTCATCAGTGACTTTAGAGAGGGTTTTGCTGCATGTTTAAGACTGTCGTTGTTGGGAACAAAATTCTTTCTGACATCTGTTTCCAATGAGTTTATCTGTAATTTTAATTCATGTTCACTTGCCTTGTCATCTAGCCTGGGCTGAAATTAGGTGAGATTATTTGTATTATTTAAGATTTTGTGCCTTTCAGTTAAATTCTCCCAAAGAGTCTTGGAGTCACGTGTGTGTGTTGTTTTTTTTTTCCCTAATCTTCCTATCATTTAGCTGACTTTGTAATCGAAGTGGGTTAAAGAGAGGATTTCAGGGTATTTGAGGTGGAAAGAGGCTGGAAAAGAGTGCTGAATGAGAATATAAGCTAGTACCTAAATAGAGGAACAGGCAGTTTGTAGATGGGTCAGGTCCTCTGTGTATTGAAAGATTGAATCTGATCAAAATCCTTGCAGCCCTGGGCTGCAGTGGACTCTGGAATGACAGGGCTATACACTAAACTGTTGAGGGTAGAAACAGGGCATTTGAAGTACAGTCTCAGGAAGTCCAGGAAATCCGTGGTCCTGAAAGTGCCACAACGGATCAGGGCCCAGGGAGCCTCCAGAAGAAGGCACATTGTCCCAGAAAAATGACCTGAAACTAAGGCCAGGTTGCTTGGATAGGAAGACTCTTAAGTGTTGCCTACTATAGGAAAAACCAATTGCT